GCTAATGATTTGTAAGTTGCAATATATTACATTATGGGTATTGGGTTTAATACCGCCTTTTCATCCTGGCAGCAGTATTTTGGTAGAAAAAACTCTTGACACTTGTAAACGCATTTAACGTGTTTTAGGCATGTTTAGCCATGCCAAGTATTTAGGCATTCATTCATTCATTTCAAAATAGTGATTTATTAATGAATTCATGCGTGTTCAAGCGTTTTTTCTCTCTGTTACTTGGAGGGAATAGATCGCATTATATCACAGCCTCCACTGATCTTCTTTCCAGTCAGTGACCACTTTTGAGAAATGCTCAGGAACCAATAGGTTCATAAGGAGACACAGACACAGACCATAGTGCTCACTGGATAGAAACAGAACACTCCAGTCCACAATGGTTACCAGACCACAGGCTCTTTCCTTCCCACATCGGGTTTCTCTAACATTCTGCATTATGTGCTTGTATATAGGGGCAGGGGTTTTACTTTGGGGAGGGGGCTAGGTCCTTGGGTATAACTTTATTTTTTAAACTTTCTTTTTTCACTAAACTTTATTGCTATTACATGGGGGTTGACAAGCAGGCAGCTCTGTTGTATTTCCCCCCCCCCCCCCCCCCCCAAGCTCCCCCTAGCAATACAGGGAGTACAGTGACACTGTTGTGATTGTCCGATACACACCTAATAAACAGAGGTCCCGTACTGTGCAGACAAACATACTTGCAGGGCATCATGTATGGATTATCATGTACAACTGTGTACGTTTAGACCTGTGCTTTCCTCTGTGTGCAATAATGAGCACTTCCAATGGGGAAGCCTTCATTATGACTTTCTGTAATAGTCATACATTGCTTGATCCCAACTTGATCATTTCACACTGTGCCCAATGTGGACAATGTGCTACTTTAGCTTTCTGTAATACTCATTGCACAGTGGTGGCACCCCAGGTGTGCGATGTCATTGTGTAAAATGTTCCTAAAATGGAGAGATCTGTGCAGAACCTTGGTATATATGGATCACTCTGTGCACACTCGTGCATAAGATATACATGGTGCAGCACAGATCAATGTTCCATACATAATTTGTTGGACCCATTGTCTGAGACATTTACTTAAATGTCTTAAATTATTTACTAAACAGAGGTCCCATACTGTGCAGACAAACATACTTGCAGGGCATCATGTATAGATTATCATGTACACTGTACTTTTAGACCTATATTTCCCTCTGTTTGCAATAATGAGAACTTCCAGTGAAGAAGCCCTCATTATTGCCTTCTATAGTATTCCTTCATCACTTGACCCAAACCTGATCATTTCAAGCTGTGCCCAAATTGATCACATTGCTTACTGAAATCAGGGAATAGCCACCCTAAGCTAAAAAAATACTCTGTTATCATGATGTGGTGTTGTCTGTTTGAAATATGCCTTCTTAGGATCAACAGAACCAGGACAGTATCAGATACATCTTGTGAAAGTGGATAGTAAATTAATAGAACCTAAAATGTAATGGGTTTCGCAGCTTGTTCCAGAGTGAGCTGTAATCATAAAATTACATGCTTGTTAATAAATGAGCATAATGGAAATAGGATTGGTCATGGATATTATTTTGTGCACTCTGTAAAGCATTGCTTGTTGAAATAATGATCTGGGAGCAGACAGTGTCACCATATTGTTCTTCTAAATAATTTGTGGAAGTGGTAGTAAAGCATCATTTTTTTAATTAAAATAATAAACATGTAATATTTACCTGCTCTGTGTCCTGGTATTACACAGAGTAGCCCCTATCCTCCTCTTCTCAGGTCCCCCTCTGGGGCTTTTGGCTCCTCTTCTCTAGCAAGTGCCCCCATCGAAAGATACTTTCTATGGGGCACCCGCGCCCTCGTCACAGAATTTGATTGACAGCAGTGGGAGCCAATGTCTCCTGTTGCTATCTATCTGCCCAGTGAGGAGAGAGAGAGAGCCAATGCTCTCATTCACAGCACTGGATCAAGATCGGGCTCAGGCAAGCATACAGGAGCTGAGGGGGAGATCCTTTGGCACTGAGTTTTATTTTACTTTAGTGCATAGAATGTATTAAGGTGAAGGTAAAAAACCTTAAGGCTTTAGAACCACTTTAAATCTGTATTTGTAAACTGTGTGTAGTCTAAACTGAAAGTCAGGAATCTTTGGAAATCTGTTCTTTTATTTGAGAAAAAATAGTGGCAGCACCAATCTTTGAGAAACCAAACTCATTATTCTTATGTATTAATTAGTATAATAATACTTTACATGTAAACAGAATCCCACCAACTTTAGTATATCTTTATCATGAACCATTTCTCCTCCGCCCACATTCTATAAATGGAAGCAGTGCCATTGAGGGCTAACATACTTGTACGTTGATTCTAAATTTAATTCTAAGTATGCCCATACTATGTGTGAGAAATATTTTTCCAAAATCTTGTGGCAAAAAAATTAAGTGTTCAAAAGACTCCCCATGCTTCCTAAAAATAGCTTTGAATTTTTACTCTCTAAAATTGGATCATTTTGTGAGTGTTTTCCTCTGTCCTGGTGCTCCAGGGCCTGCAAAAATGTAATAGTTATTCAGGAAATTAGATGTGTAATTTATGTCCCTAGAAAGCATGAAGGTGCTCCTTGGATTTTGGGCCACGCTGTGTGCCTAGGCTGTGAAAAAGTCTTACCCATGTGGTATCGTCACACTCGGGAGAAGTAGCGGAATGTGTTTTGGGGTGTATTTTCCAAGTTTGTCAATGCTGTTTCTTAGAAATATTTTTTATTAATTGACAACTTTATGTAAAAAAAAAAAAAATTTTCATTTTCTTTCCTACATTTTCCAAAAACGTGTGGCAAAAAATTACATTTTCAACAGACTCAATTTTTCTTTCAGAAAATATCTTGGAGTGTTTGCTTTCCAAAATGGGATCATTTTCTGGGTGTTTCCACTGCCCTGGTGCTCCAGGGCATCCACAAATGTGATAGGTAGTCAAGAAATTAAATGCATAATTTATGCCCCTGGAATGCCTGAAGATGCTTCTTGGATTTTGGACCCCTATATGCATCTAGGCTGTGAAAAAGTCTCACACATGTGGTATCCTCATACTCAGGAAGCATAACACAATGTGTTTTGGGAGTATAATTGCACATATGCCTATGCTGTGTGTGAGAAATAGCTTGTTAAAATGACAACTTTGTAAGAAAAAAATGTATTTAATTTCTTAATTTTCCAAAAAACTGACAAAAACTTACAACTTCAAAAAAACTCACTATGCCTCTTACTAAATACCTTGGACTGTCTACTTCCAAACAAGGGGTAAAATGTAGCAGAATACATTTTGGCCTAATTTTATGAAGAAATATTATTTATTTGCAAAATTTTTATAATATTAAATACCATCAAAAGAAAGTTATATCTGTCTCAAAAAATGCTAAAAAAATTCATTTGGGTGCACTGTTGTCACTCAAAGTGTAAGGGCGCTGAAAGCTGAAAATTGGCTTGGACTGGAAGGGGGTGGAAGTGTCCAGACTTGAATTTGTTAATACACAGTTTAGTATACTTGCTTAAAATCTGCTTTTAACTTTCTTCAAACACCTGGACCACAGAAATCTGTGGAAGGTTAGGTATCAGAACTAAACCGAGCTGTCCCTTAAGCCAGCCAAACATGGATCAAAATTCAGACATTTCAACAAGGACCAGCCGTATTTCGACCCATATATGGGCACCATGGTTGTACAGAAGTGGATCTACTGATTGGCTTCTGTGCAACTAACTTGTTGGGTTTTTTTCAAAATTATCAGTGCCACCACCTATAGCCAGCATCACTGATCATTGTGTTCGGACGGCAGGAAAGGCTCCCCTCCATCAAAACACTATAGAGCAGGAGGATTCCTATTCACACATCAATTTGGATCTTTTTTTTTTTCATTCAACTGAACGAAAACAAAATTATGTATGTATAGCTGCCTTAGACATGTTTTTTAGGCATGGGCAGCTTCAAGGATGGTGATTAAACAGCTTACAGGAGGCAAGGGATGTAGTTATTTGTATGGTATAATGATAAAAAATATGGGTGCAGCGTTAAAATCAGAATTAAAGTGCATATGCAAATGACAAATAGTGAATCATTGATTATCAACATATCGATAATAAAGTGCAATTAGTACCAATTAGTGACCAGAAAATCATCAAATATAAAGTGACACAAGTATTTGTGATAAAATCATATACAAGAGTCCATTAAGTGATCCAATATAAATGAATCTAGAGATAACCACTCCAGGAGGCTAAAGTGCTTGTTCTTATTTGTATGGTATACCTTTGTAATATAACATGTGATGATAAATGAAATGAAGACTTGTTTATAAGGCTGACCTTTATTTTTTTGTTTGCTTTTAGCACTTATGAATATATGAAATAAAAACCTTTACATAATTTCTAATTAATAAATCAATTGGAAAAAAAAATGTTTTTCATTATAAACAGATTCGATTTTTCTTCTAACGAAGGCTGACTTTTCTATTTCTACTCTTTAATTGTATTATAGAAATTTACTGTTTTGGTTAAAATGTGGCAGCGTGGGGAAAAAGTTAGACCCTCTGTCAGATTTAATTGTTACCTGTGATCTCACTGGGGAGATCTGTGCTCTCTTTTTGTCTTAGAGTCAACATTGCAAGTAATATGGGAAATCCCCAATGAGGGGGGGGGACATACAGTAGTCAATAACTGAAGAATATTCTAGTCTTCCCTAGCTGTACAAAAAATGTTTTAATACTGTTGCTGGAGATATTTGCCCTCACTCAGCCTTAAGCTGTCTATATTTTAAAAGAGTTCTTTTGTTCAATGTTTTATATAAACAAAAGAAATCTAACAGATTCCTCCATCCACAGAAAAAGGACATGGATTGATGAATCCTCCTGCTGGACTGTATTCTGACAGCAGTTAGCGTCAGCTGTCAGAGTACCTGAACAGTGCCTGTAGCTGATTGGATACAGGTACTGTTCAGTAGCCTTACAATATTGTCAGTGGGACAGGAAGTGAGGGACAATATCTCAAATGAGAACACGGACAGCAGTAAAATCTGAAGTTTTCGAGTTTTTCTTTAAGGTGAACATAATAAAACACTTATTTAGCTACATATGTTTCTGTTTTTCAACAGAGTTACTGGTGGAGAATTATTTGAAGATATAGTTGCAAGAGAATACTATAGTGAAGCAGATGCCAGGTAAGCTTACAGGTATTTTAATTTTCCCTACACTGTGCATGCATTGAAAGATGTTCCAGTGGAAAGTAAGGAGTCTTCAGGTGTTGTGGTACCAATGTTATAAACAATTGCTGTACATATTATAGGCCTGTTTTGGTAATATGGAGGATAAAAATTACAAGGATTACGTTGTTACAATAAACCTGTTGACCTCTCATTCTAAAGGCTTTCAGTGTGAAACTTTGTGGATAGATTTACATCCCTATTCACAAATGGGCGATTTGAAGCCTGATTTGAAGGTTTACCAGAAATCCATCAACGTTTGACATTTTTTCCATTATTTTTTAGCGATGCCCATTCACACCCGAGAGTAGTAGTGTCGCTTGAATCTCATTGCTGAAAAAATATATGAACTTCTTTTGGGTCATAGCCATGTGTTTTGACCCCAATATACTTCACTGGGAGAAACACATAAAATACATCTTTTGTGCATTTTCATGATTGGTAACTAGCTTTATATTGGCTAAAAATAATTTTAAAAACCACACAAGCTGAAAATGAACGCAAAATAGCTAAAAAAGCCTGTATAAGGGCTAAAAAAAATGCCTGGAAAAACGACCAACATGGATCCTTAATTACTTAGGGCCTGTTCACACCAGATGTGGTCGAACTGCCTTGGTAGCTATTTCCAGGACAGATTTCTATGGTGTTAGTTCACACCACAGTGTTTCTGTGTAAAAAGTCAACAGCGTGATGCACTGGAATCAGCGCCTCGATATTATGCTGCACAGCACACACTGGCTGCCAAGCATTCAGTGTGGCTCATTAGTGTGAATAGGCCCTTAAAGAAAAATATTCATCAACATATAATTGTTTATCCCTTCCCATGTTTATCTTGAGGGATTACCACCATGTATTCATTATTTGTGTCTTTCCTTTTATAAGAATGTCAGTTTAAAAAAAAAACACATTTTTTTTACAGGTGGTGTAAGTGTCTAAGCATCTGCAAGTTTACTTTTAATACAAGACTTGCATATCATATACAGTGGGGCAAAAAAGTATTTAGTCAGCCACCAATTGTGCAAGTTCTCCCACTTAAAAAGATGAGAGAGGCCTGTAATTGGCATCATAGGTAGACCTCAACTATGAGAAACAAAAATGAGAAAAAAAAAACCCAGACAACCACATTGGCTGATTTGGAAAGAATTTATTTGCAAATTATGGTGGAAAATAAGTATTTGGTCAATATCAAAAACTTCATCTCAATAGTTTGTTATATATCCTTTGTTGGCAATGACAGAGGTCAAACATTTCCTGTAAGTCTTCGCAAGGTTGGTACACACTGTTGCTGGTATGTTGGCCCATTCCTCCATGCAGATCTCCTCTAGAGCAGTGATGTTTTGGGGCTGTCGCTGGGCAACACGGACTTTCAACTCCCTCCAAGGTTTTCTATGGGGTTGAGATCTGGAGACTGGCTAGGCCACTCCAGGACCTTGAAATGCTTCTTACTAAGCCACTCCTTAGTTGCCCGGGCGGTATGTTTGGGATCATTGTCATGTTGGAAGACCCAGCCACGTTTCATCTTCAATGCCCTTGCTGATGGAAGGAGGTTTGCACTCAAAAATCTCACGATACATGGCCCCATTCATTCTGTCCTGTACATGGATCAGTCGTCCTGGTCCCTTTGCGGAGAAACAGCCCCAAAGCATGATGTTTTCACCCCCATGCTTCACAGTAGGTATGGTGTTCTTTGGATGCAACTCAGCAATCTCTCTCCTCCAAACACGACAAGTTGTATTTCTACCAAACAGTTCTATTTTGGTTTCATCTGACCATATGACATTCTCCCAATCCTCTTTTGGATCATCCAAATGCTCTCTCAGCAAACTTCAGACGGGCCCGGACATGTACTGGCTTAAGCAGGGGGACACATCTGGCACTGCAGGATCTGAGTCCCTGGCGGCGTAGTGTGTTACTGATGGTAGCCTTTGTTATGTTGGTCCCAGCTCTCTGCAGGTCATTCACTAGGTCCCCCGTGTGGTCCTGGGATTTATGCTCACCGTTCTTGTGATCATTTTGACCCCACGGGGTGAGATCTTGCGTAGAGCCCCACATCGAGGGAGATAATCAGTGGTCTTGTATGTCTCCCATTTTCTAATTATTGCTCCCACAGTTGATTTGTTCACACTAAGCTGCTTGCCTATTGCAGATTCAGTCTTCCCAGCCTGGTGCAGGTCTACAATTTTGTTTCTGGTGTCCTTTGACAGCTCTTTGGTCTTCACCATCGTGGAGTTCGGAGTGTGACTGTTTGAGGTTGTGGACAGGTGTCTTTTATACTGATAACAAGTTCACACAGGTGCCATTGATACAGGTAATGAGTGCAGGACAGAGGAGCCTCTTAATGAAGAAGGTACAGGTCTGTGAGAGCCAGAAATCTTGCTTGTTTGTTGGTGACCAAATACTTTATTTTCCACCATAATTTGCAAATAAATTCTTTCCAAATCAGCCAATGTGATTGTCTGGATTTTTTTTTCTCATTTTGTCTCTCATAGTTGAGGTCTACGTATGATGCCAATTACAGGCCTCTCTCATCTTTTTAAGTGGGAGAACTTGCACAATTGGTGGCTGACTAAATACTTTTTTGCCCCACTGTATACATAAAATGGTCTTGTATAAAAAGAGCTAACGACTACAATCTGAAATTTTTGTAATTCGGGGCATCTCTGATACTACAGAAATATAAGCAGGTCTGGCTGCCATAGTAGACCTGCGCTCACTCATCACTCTGAAATGTCACCTTGTAAGCCTTACGTGGCTATGCCAATAACACTGCAAAGTGTCTATCCATTTTTTCACTGAGATCATAAACTGAAATCTCATGCCATACATGTGTGTGTGAAAATGCACATTTTTGTTTTTTTTGCTGCCTCTCTCCATTTCGGAAGAATTTTCACCTACTTGTTTGTTCTGCTGTAAATGTGGCCACTGTGACAGGAAGAGAGGGGACAGTCACCAATGAAGCCAGCAAAAAAGAAAAAAAAATACTAAAAAGGTTCTGACCATCCGTGCTCTATCCTAAAATGAAAAACGTTTTGACTGGAGTTTTACTTTAAGTTTACTAAATTACAAACAGTGTAATTGTTCACCACATTGAGTTTTTCTCTTTCTGTAAGTTTACATTTTCTAACAAGAGCCAAGTGTGGTCATGCTTTTTCTTCTCTCAGCCATGGAGTTCTCTATATAGTTACCTGTTTAGTGCATCAGAATGCAGTAGTCATTGATGTGACAATGATTATTCGAGCCATATGCATATATGGTACCTGCTACTTACAAGAATGTGTGTCTGTTATGTACATATATGTATATGTAATGGCGATAATGTACCTACCTCAGTAAAATACAAGGCTATTAGAGGTATCATGTCAATTATAATGCATAACTGTGCTTTTCCGAGTATAATTACGTAGGCCTTGGAACACTAAGGCTCTAAAATCTTTTTATTTTACAGAAACAGGGAGTACATTATCCCATATATTACACAAGTTTCCTTTTAAACTGGAGTTATAACAGTTGTTATATTCACTGACATAATGTTTAGATATTATCTTTACTTGCCGTTTTACTCTTTCTTTCAGGAAATACATTCAGACAATTCATGACATGACTTGTACCCCTATTCATTAGAAAACTGATAACATCCCATTTTTAAAAAAAATATCTGTTACAGGCACATCTTTCTTCTAATTGAAGTTTTATTGTATGAAAATGACAATCACTTACATTTGGTATATAAATTATTTTGGCTATTGTCACAATTTATTTTATGTTATATTCTACATACGTTCATCAAACTTGTGTAATATATGTATGAAAATATATCATATGCATATATCTATAATGTGTACATTACCTTGTAATCCTGTGCCCAATGTGTGTTTCGGATCCCAAGCACTACTTGGTATGCCCACATTTATTTTTCTTGGTTTTTTTTTTTCTATTTCTTTAATTTTTTTTAACAATAAGGTTATTAAAAACAACACTAATCACAAGTAAACAAAATAATGTGCATATTTCATTGAATTAGCGAGCCTATTGATTTAAAAAGGCATTGTAGCAAATTAAAAAGGTTTGACCTTTACAATGAAAGCATACAAAATGCTTATCTTGCAGATTTTTGCAGTTAGATTGCCTTTATGCCATTGTATTATGCTGCATTGGAATATTTTATGGATCCCTAATGCAACAGTATGACCATTAGAAATTACAATAGATTTGGTGAAAGAATATTATATTTAAAAAAGAGTTATTAATTGGGCAGTTAATTTTGTAAACAGTCATTTAATCAAACCAAAATTTTTGGCCCTGCCGGTAATCAAATTCAGGTGCCTCATTCTTTTCAGTTGTTGTATTGGTCTTTTTAAAGTGAAATATTGTTTGAAACAATCATTTACAATCATAGAAAGCATAAAGTTGGGTATAGATTAGCAGATCTTGCAGGTACATCCTGCTGTGGACTTGTACCATAGCAGTTGTCACCAAGTGAGGATGTGTTTTTCTATAAAGCAATAAAAGAATCACTCCTTCTTTATTCATGGGGTACTTGAAACAGATGGATCAAAATGTGCTGTATGTGGTCAGCCTAGTTAGTGCATCACAAAATTACTTAGGATTCATTACCAGTTGGGAATTGGCATGGCTTTCCCAAACAAGATGTGCCCTTAAGTTTTTCATAAATCAAATTTAAAGAGAAATATTGTCTAGTTTAAGTATATCTTAAAATCCCGCTCCCCCTCCTAAAAAGTGACAAATGTCAAAGAAGAGGGGGAGTGGGATGCATATAAGCAGAACTTCTGGGTGAAGTTTCGCTTTAAGCGTTGTTCAGGAGTTTTTCTCCCACGTTACAATGTTATGACTGAGAGACGAGGTAAAGAAAAAAATCTACAAACTGAGAAAGTGATAGCAACAAAAAGCTGACAGATTCTACCTTCCTCTCTACCCATGCTACAGTTTTTAATTGCTTTCTGTGGTGCTGTTGCAGATTTCTCCTCATTTCTTGTCCTGGTGGTAGCATTGGGGGACGTTCCCCTAACAAAACACAGGGCAACTGTAGATCTAATGTAACTGTAATCTGAGGTTCTAATGCAGGCCATTCAGTGACTGAAATTCAGCTGGTTCAAAATTGTGTGGATGAACCATTTTTTTTCAATCTGTCCACTAAAAAAACTTGGGCCAAAGATTCAGTACTTCAACTAAAGAAAAGCAGTATAGCTAAATTTGTAAAACTGTTCCATTTGGTGAATTAATTACTTCTATCCTATCAGATTTATGTTGGCATAATTAGTCTTTTGTTTGAGATTACTATTTTTTTTTATAAACAGTTGTCATCATAGTTAATACCATGAAGAGAAAGTGCTAATTATAACCTGTAGCAGAATGTAAGAAAAAAAAATGTTTGAGTCTTTTCTAATTTGATTAAACTGCAGCATGAGTTAGGCTATATAACTGTATGTTGTTCAAATACCAACAGCAGACTAATATGCTTCAGAAATCTTTAATTTATATTGTTAGAGTAAGTATTCAGTGGTGGATCTTCGGTCTAATAAATATTGGATTGCTCAAGATATCCTTTAGTGCTTGTAACATTTGGATCACTCACCCAAGAGGAACCTTTAATTACTGCATTAAGAAGAAGGTCTTGAAAGGAAAGTTTTTCATTAGCATTATTGACTTGTTATATTTCCCCAGAATACAGATTATAATATGTTTCTACAAGGCCAGGGGTCAACACAACATTCACATAGAAGTGTGAAAAAAAAAAAAATTTGCTAAAATTTATTTCACATAAATGAGATTGTTCTTCTACAATATAGCATGGACAATTTAGACACACACTACATCATGTTGGATGCAGTGTAGTTTGTTACTTTGCTCTTTTGGAAATAATGGGGTTGATTTACGTAAACTGGAGAGTGCAAAATCTGGTGCAGCTCTACATATAAACCAATCAGCTTCCAGTTTTTTTGTCAACGCCTAATTGAACAAGCTGAAGTTAGAAGCTGATTGGCTACCATGCACAGCTGCACCAGATTTTGCACTCTCCGGTTTTAGTAAATCAACCCCAATATCTATTATAAGTTCAGTTGTTTACGGTAAACACTGTCATGTGTAAAAGTACCTTGCGATTTTGTAAAAATGAATTTAGCCACTTTAGTGTAAATGTAAAAAGTGCAGTGATTTTGAGGCTGCTTCCAGAAATTCTTGCTTTAAAGATAGTAGAGAAGGGACTTCCTATAGATTGGAGTGAAGTTTTTTGGTTAGGATAGATACAAATATCTGTACAAATATCTGGCCTGCTCTGCAATCTCTCTGGTCAGTTAGAGCATGTGACAAACTTTTTTTACCTTTTCTATTGTAGTCTGGGAATGCTTATATCTTTTATTTCTGTTAACGTTGTCACTGACTAGATTGGGTAGACTAGCTATTTAGTTATGCATTCTGAGTTAGCATATGTACTTTAATGCTCTATGAGATGCCCTTACTTATCGTAGAACTCCACATTCAGACACTAAAGTGCCATACTGATGCCACATTAAAAGGTGAAAGGTTGAAGCATTCTGCTATAACATAAAAATGACTAAATTGGTTCTTCAGCTTAAACAAAATGTATCAGCAGCTTCCTAGGCCTGCAACCACGTCCACCTTTACCACAAAATGCTGTAATACCTTGCTGACTTAGTTCCATCCCTTTAGAAAATCATATTTAGAATTAAAAGTATGGGCTTTATAATAAATGTCTTTGTACAAGCTGAAGCATGAATTTTGACTTCTTATAAAATACGCACAAATTCAATATGCATTCTAGCTGACATTTTTGGGGTTGATTTACTTAAACTGGAGCGTAAACAATCTGGTGCAGCTCTGAATAGAAACCAATCAACTTGCAGTTTTTTTTGTGAAAGCTTAATTGAAAAAGCTGAGGTTAGAAGCTGATTAGCTACCATGCACGCCTGAACCAGATCTTGCACTCTCCAGTTTTAGTAAATCAACCCCAATGTGTTTAGTGTTCAGTATTCCATGGGAATCACTGTAGGTATCCAGACTCTGTTGCGATCTCTTGTTCAGATAAAAAATGCAGCCATGGTGGACAAAGACTGTCTTGTACTCACTGTAAGTCTTCAGTGTTGTATAATGATGAGCTATACCATCCTCACCATTTAAACAGGTTTGCTGTATTGATTGTGAGCATAAATACTCTGCATTTGACATCAAAGCACTCAATAATTCTACTAGAGCCTGATGTAGGGTTGTAATTCTGCAACATTTCTTTTATGTATTCATTTTTTTTTTTAATCTTTTTAGAAGATTAAAATACAATGTACTGTAGTTCCTCTGTTCATTTTTCTGATGTTTCCCACACAATTCACATTTCCATAACCCTACTGTGATCAACCCTTGATTAACTGTGAAAATAGTTATTTTATTAAACCACAACATGACAGTGTTGAAAATGTACTTATTATTCCTCAGCCCCTTCTTACTAAGCATGGAATGTGCATGTTATTTTTCCTGTATGTAATTCCATGTATAGATAATAAGTACACTTTCATGGACTTCCTGATCACATGATAAATGACAGCACTGTTATATGTCTGATGTGTGCATGTTATGTCCCCAAATAGTGTTTTTCAATTCTGCCTGATACATGAAAATGTCTTTGTGTATGTTTTCTGTTGATTGTACATTGTTAATAATTTGCCTTTAATGTTTCCCCTTCCGTTCTGCCCTTGTATCTTCACAGTCATTGTATACAGCAGATTCTAGAAAGTGTAAATCATTGTCATCTTAATGGCATAGTTCACAGAGACCTAAAGGTCAGTATCTGGTGCTAACAAGTTGCTTAATGCTGTGCTTAGGGTGGAAATGGCTGAATTGTTTTTTTTTTTTTCTGCCCGTTTCCCTTCCTCTCTTAAAATGTTACATCAAGGTATGTGCATGATGTCTGCAGGCTCCATATTCATCATGGCTAGCAGTATAAATAGCTAGTAGTTATTATAATTGGGCAGTGTGTATATATTGTGCATGATGTATTTTGAGAGTTAAGGTTTGCCATGACATTTTATGCAGTCTGCAGACTTCACCCCCACTTCTGTCCTCAGACCTTGGGTTACAATTGCAAAACAACTAGCTATATATATCTTTTAGATATTTCACTATATAAAATGACATTTTGACTTTAAAATAATGTACTAAAAGTTCTCCGTTATTAAATACAAAGCCTTGCAAGTTTGCTTGGCACTTTTCACATTATGTCCATTATTTATTTATATTTTGTAACCTCATGATTTCATGTAGCATGGATACATAGAGATTCATCCTAAAGAATGCCAGTTGTTTGCTTGTTGTACATTTGAACCCAGTCTTCTGAGGGTGTACAGACAGTGGGTGTAAGCTTGGAACTAACACACACCCCCTGGTGTTTGCATGCAGTCATTGCATTCAGCAGATCTTGGAGGCTGTGCTGCACTGTCATCAGATGGGCGTAGTCCATCGAGATTTAAAGGTAAGTGACAGCTTCATGAAAAGTTATCTTTGATGGAATGGCAATGTTTGGCTACTGTTCAGCATGTGTGACTGCTGCATTGTGTATCATTATTGTAGATATTTTGTAGATGTTAAATTTAAAGAAGCATTGACTATAGTGTGACATATCTTTTTAACCCACTTGAGTACTAGCCTGTATAGACCTCTTCATTAGCAGGTCATTTTTTTCACTTTTCAGTTTTGTGATAGTCTGACTGACAATTATTTGGTTATGTAACACTGTATCCAATTGAATTTTACAAAAAAATTGTGAGACTGGTAAAGCTTTACTTTGGTAGTAACTACTGTATCAGATTTACTTTGTAAAAGAAAGAAAGACCAAACATTTTGAACAGAAACTTGATGTTTTGACTGTCGCTTAAAGTGCCAGAACAATGCAAATCCTGTAAAAATACCCTTTTTTGAAAGTAAATACGCCATGGTGGTCTAATTTTTTGCCATACATTTTTGGAAGTGAAGAAACATGCTGATATTGAGGTGGTTAAAAGTCGCTCACTAAAGCCAGGTAGTAGCAATACAAATTCTACTCTAAAATCATTTGTGGTTAATGGCATTTTAAAACCCCTACCCCCAACATTGGTGATCAGTTCCAATTTAAAATCCCCCATAATTGAATAAAACAGTATATAATTTTTCTTCCTCCTTTGTGAAAGGAGAGGATTCTCAAACGTAAACACATGCAGTGTTTATATTTGTATTTGCTGTGATTGGCCAAGCCAGTGATCAAATGGCATAGAGTCAGCCGGATTGGTTGTATGCATTTTGTCTGTGAAGTTTGCTGTCTAATGACAGGTGTCTAATCATGTCACAGACATCACTGGTCATTCGTCTGTGTTTTCTGCATTTTCATTTATAAACAGGGTGTCATAACTGAGTCCACCTACCTCCTGTTCTTCTGAAGTAGAACTAAATAAAAAAAAAAAATATATCCATTTTGGATAGCGCAAAGGAAGGTTATAATCCCTGTAAGGTTTATTTTTTGCCATCTGTGTCCCATTGGGCAGATTTCCCTTCACTTCCTGAGGGAATCAATGGTTGTCACCAGAACTAGCATCTCCTTGAAAGATTTCCCTTCTATTATGGTCCTGGGGACCACCCAAAATGTAGGATTTTTGTTTTACTTTCACTTTCATTGATAATAGTAACCAGGACAAATAGAGAGGGTGAATCTCCCTAATGGGGGCACAGACAGCAGTAAAAACCTGACAAGTGTTCTAATCCCTCTCCACTCTATCTAAAATTAAACTAATACCCCCGTCACATCGGGTGTGACTTGGCATGTGATTTGAATGCCAGGCGACTTGCAAATCGTATGCCAAGTTGCACCCTATTGTCTGCAGTTACAGCGGTCAAAACGGTGCGGTTCCAACTTGGTCGAAGCTACACCGATTTCTAAAGTAGTACACGACTTTGTGAATGCCCCCCAACTTACAGTGAAGTCTCATGGTTTCAAAGTTGGGGGGCATTCAATTTTCAGGTGTGATTTGCAAGGCATTTGACAGATGTCTATGCAAATCGCACGAAAAGTAGTGCATGATTTCAAAGTCGAGCTTGATGTGACCGGGGTGTAAATGTTTTGCCTTTTGTTATACTTTAAAACATGGCGGTAGTAATGTAGATATAATTAAAGTATCCACATGTGAAAAGCTGCAAAATATCCTTTTAATCCTGTGTGCATTCAAGACATGTTACAGTGTAATTTAATTACCAAAATAATTTCCAAATGCACAGTTCAACAGTTTGTACAAAATTGAGAATTCTTCTTACTTAGTTTTAGAATGTAATTAATACGATGTCCAGTCTAGTGCTGTACAGCTAATCCTCAGATATATTTGGAATGTGTGATTCTGTTAATGGTTCCAGCTAGTGGTTTGTTTAATAGTATAATTTAAAACGGGAAAATTATTGAGATGAAGTAGTTTTGATAGAGTTTTGAAAGCTTGAAGGTGGTGTATGCATAGCCATATATAAATGCACACCTTGTAAAAAGCTCTGTTATTATAGTTACTGAAATATAGGTAATGCAGTATGCCAATTACACAGGGTGCCCATCTCCAGAACGTCTTGTCTTTTATGCAACATTGCCTATATTTGTACACTTCATATTAAATTCTCCCACCTTTCCTGAGTGAAGAATAATAAGATGAGTGTGTCGATAACCCTTCCATTTCCATATATAACAACGTTGAAGGACTTGTTATATGTCCAGATATAGATATAAAACGCAGTAGCGCTATGGAATAAGGAAGGAGGGTCATGGGGATTACATTACTGATCAATTTGCAAACTGAACTATTCTTTACAGAGAATTGCAAGGGTGAACCAATACCGTACACCCTCCCCACCTGTCCCCGGTATGTACTGTACTTCCCTCCGGTGATGCTGAGCTATCAATGACCCCACATCCAGTGGTCCAGAGATTTGAAATCCCTGCTCTTCTCTCTCTTCTCTGTGCAACGCTTCTAGGTGGCCTCTGGATTTATGTATCAGTTTCGTTAGTGAATGTACTCCTATCGTTTATTAAGACAATTCATTGCTCATTTCTATTCAGTTCAAATAATATCCATCAAAAGCTTAAATGCAGTAAACACAGTACTAAGTTCAAGCCTTTCTGGGTGTAGTAGATGTAGAAATATTGATAATTATTATGCAGGATTTATATAGTGCCAACAAATTGCTCAGCGCTTTACAATATAACGGGAGACAATACAGCAACAATACAGTTCAATACAAGAGGGATCCTTGGAGCTTACAATCTAAGAGCATAACTGTATATCACATCTAAGCTTATGACTGAAGTTTATTGACTTATGTTGCGCCAACAGTGTAGGCAACCTTAATTCTGCCTGAAAACATTGCATAATGTTTGAGCTATTTATAATATTATAGAACGGCCTTTCTCAGTCTTTGCAATGCAGAGAAACTCTTGAATTAAAGTGTGACTAAACCCAGGACCCTGCATTCACTATATCTGGTCTCCCACAGTACACACTACATAGAATGCAATTATTTTAACAAATATAAACTGCTAAATACCTTTTCCCATCAGCAGTATATAGCAGTCTTGTGACTGCTATCAGTGTCCAGCTGAGCACTGGTTAAAGCTTGTAGGAGGCGTTTTCATTCCCCCCTGAATAACCTATGAGGCTGCACAACCCCCGACCCTCTGTCTGGACAGTTCTGATTGGCCATGTGCTGATCACATGCACCCTCCCAAAGAAAAGAAAAAACTTTCTAGCAAGACACACCAAACTGAGCATGTGCAGATGGCCCCCAAGGCTTTGTTCTATCAGCAGAGGGTTTGGGGACAGTAGAAGAAGGGGAGGATCAGAGAAGACAGGATTGAACATCCTTTTTACACAATGTAGAGGATTAACCCCTTAGGATCTACAGTGAGTATAGCAAGCATGCTTTACTGCATATACAGATTTATTTTACTGATGCGGGTTTAGTAACACTTTAGCGTACTAGTCTCAGGAAAACTCCCTCTTATTCAGAATAATATAAATTTGCAGCAAGTTCAAAGCCATATTAAAAGACCAATATGTATGCAGAATCATTGCATATAATTTGCATTAGATGAAATTAATACTTTTATAACTATTTATGTGCACCTGTACAGAAATTTAGATTCATAAATATTTTTTACACAATAACTTAACTGGATAAAGCAGACCTATCAAAACACATAAAATAATTCTGCACAAGCTTTCTTCCCTTCACAAAAATACTTTTTAGGTATTTCACTATGGCCAGGTACATGAGCAGATGCTTATGTGTTTGGTCACAAGGTCTATGCTGAAGAGGAGCACCATCAAATCTGATTTGTGATCCCTCTTTTTAGGAGAAATCCTATGAGCATATGTGAGCATATACCTAGGCATTTCATCACATCACGACTTGCTATGGAAGCCTAGGGTGGTAGTTTCTAGGTAAGAATTTCCAGCTTTCTGTTAGCTTTTATGACTGGGTAGCTGGGAGTCTTAGTGTCCTAAAATGTTTGCATCTTTATCTATTGTTATGATAACCTCCTTTAGTTAAACTAGTTAAAGAGAACACGGAAGTTTAGCTTCTACATTGGCACATGATTGCTCATTTTCAAGCTTGAAAAAAACAACACTCTCATTGTCAAGTAACCCAGATGTCTGCTGCCATGATAACACATCCACGATTTTCAGAAAATTCTAACAGAAATCCAGCCATGTCCTGTTTGTAATAAGGTCAAAGTAATGGTTTACAGATTCATATTACAAAGTCCAGGGCATAGGCCCTTTAAAGCTCTTATGGAAAATTCCAGTTGTAGACCATATCTTTGTTTAATATTACATTTTGGGAAGCAGGAATGATTGCTACTTTAATCTCAACTTCTGCCAAAAATGTACTCTTTTTGATAGACTTGGGAAATGTAAATTCTTCTGTTGAGTTTTTATTGCTTTCAATGAACCCACTGAGAAGAGGAATAAAGGGTATGCGGTTGCAGTGGAACAGGAAGACCCAGACAGTAACTGACAGAGTTTTGAACCATTTCCTACTTTCTAAAAAAACTTGTTTTGTTTCTTGTTGTAGTCTGTCTCCCCAATGAGGTATTTTCCCAAGACTTTCAGTGCAGACAGAAAGTGAGGGGAAGTCTCCTCAATTAGGACATGAACCACAAATAAAAGCCTGAAAGATATTATGCAATCCCACTCTTGCCAGGTCTAAAAGAAAGTTTTGACTAGATTTTGGCTTTTTGCTCATGGGTTTCTGCTGCATATACTTGCTGGGATGAAGCAGCAGTATGGAGTTCTTGTGTCAAACCCTTCTTTTCACTGCTCATGTTGCTATGATAGTCCGTGTTAGAGCAGACTATATAGGAATAACTAGTGCCTGTCCATTTAACAATGTGAGCTTTGATGGAAGGACATTTACTGAAAACCTCACACTGGCAAAGCGAGATTCCTTAGGTAAATATCAATAAATATAAAAAGGGTTATAGTCACCATCATCCAACTG